CCCTCGTAAAGTTGTAAAGTCGTCCCTTGTAAAGTCGTTCCTTGTAAAGTCGTTCCTTGTAAAGTCGTCCCTTGTAAAGTCGTCCCATGTAAAGTTGTAAAGTCGTCCCTTGTAAAGTCGTAAAGTCGTCTCTTGTAAAGTCGTCCCTTGTAAAGTCGTCCCTTGTAAAGTTGTAAAGTCGTTCCTTGTAAAGTCGTCCCTTGTAAAGTTGTAAAGTCGTCCCTTGTAAAGTTGTAAAGTCGTCCCTTGTAAAGTCGTAAAGTCGTCTCTTGTAAAGTGGTCTCTTGTAAAGTCGTCCCTTGTAAAGTCGTCCCTTGTAAAGTCGTCCCTTGTAAAGTCGTAAAGTCGTCTCTTGTAAAGTCGTTCCTTGTAAAGTTGTAAAGTCGTCCCATGTAAAGTTGTAAAGTCGTTCCTTGTAAAGTCGTCCCTTGTAAAGTCGTCCCTTGTAAAGTCGTCCCTTGTAAAGTTGTAAAGTCGTCCCTTTAAAGTTGTAAAGTCGTCCCTTGTAAAGTCGTCCCTTGTAAAGTCGTCCCTTGTAAAGTTGTAAAGTCGTCCCTTTAAAGTTGTAAAGTCGTCCCTTGTAAAGTCGTCCCTTGTAAAGTCGTCCCTTATAAAGTTGTAAAGTCGTCCCTTGTAAAGTCGTCCCTTGTAAAGTTGTAAAGTCGTCCCTTGTAAAGTCGTCCCTTGTAAAGTTGTAATGTCGTCCCTTGTAAAGTCGTCCCTTGTAAAGTTGTAAAGTCGTCCCTTGTAAAGTCGTCCCTTGTAAAGTCGTCCCTTGTAAAGTCGTCTCTTGTAAAGTCGTCCCTTGTAAAGTCGTCCCTTGTAAAGTTGTAAAGTCATCCCTTGTAAAGTTGTAAAGTCGTCCCTTGTAAAGTCGTCTCTTGTAAAGTCGTCCCTTGTAAAGTTGTAAAGTCGTCCCATGTAAAGTTGTAAAGTCGTCCCATGTAAAGTTGTAAAGTCGTCCCTTGTAAAGTTGTAAAGTCATCCCTTGTAAAGTCGTCCCTTGTAAAGTCGTCCCTTGTAAAATCGTCCCTTGTAAAGTCGTTCCTTGTAAAGTCGTTCCTTGTAAAGTCGTCCCTTGTAAAGTCGTCCCTTGTAAAGTTGTAAAGTCGTCCCTTGTAAAGTCGTCCCTTGTAAAGTCGTTCCTTTGTAAAGTCGTTCCTTGTAAAGTCGTCCCTTGTAAAGTCGTCCCTTGTAAAGTCGTTCCTTGTAAAGTCGTCCCTTGTAAAGTCGTCCCTTGTAAAGTTGTAAAGTCGTCTCTTGTAAAGTCGTCCCTTGTAAAGTCGTCCCTTGTAAAGTCGTCCCTTGTAAAGTCGTCCCTTGTAAAGTCGTTCCTTGTAAAGTTGTCTCTTGTAAAGTTGTAAAATCGTCCCATGTAAAGTTGTAAAGTCGTCCCTTGTAAAGTTGTAAAGTCGTCCCTTGTAAAGTCGTCCCTTGTAAAGTCGTCCCTTGCAAAATTGTTCCTTGTAAAGTCGTCCCTTGTAAAGTCGTTCCTTGTAAAGTCGTCCCATGTAAAGTTGTAAAGTCGTCCCTTGTAAAGTTGTAAAGTCGTCCCTTGTAAAGTCGTCCCTTGTAAAGTCGTTCCTTGTAAAGTCGTCCCTTGTAAAGTCGTCCCATGTAAAGTTGTAAAGTCGTCCCTTGTAAAGTTGTAAAGTCGTCCCTTGTAAAGTCGTCCCTTGTAAAGTCGTCCCTTGTAAAGTCGTCCCTTGTAAAGTCGTTCCTTGTAAAGTCGTCCCTTGTAAAGTCGTCCCTTGTAAAGTCGTCCCATGTAAAGTTGTAAAGTCGTCCCTTGTAAAGTTGTAAAGTCGTCCCTTGTAAAGTCGTCCCTTGTAAAGTTGTAAAGTTGTCCCTTGTAAACTAGTCGCTTGTAAAGTCGTCCCTTGTAAAGTCGTCCCTTGTAAAGTCGTCCCTTGTAAAGTTGTAAAGTCGTCCCTTGTAAAGTCGTCCCTTGTAAAGTCGTCCCTTGTAAAGTCGTTCCTTGTAAAGTCGTCCCTTGTAAAGTCGCAAAGTCGTCCCTTGTAAAGTCGTCCCATGTAAAGTTGTAAAGTCGTCCCTTGTAAAGTTGTAAAGTCGTCCCTTGTAAAGTCGTCCCTTGTAAAGTTGTAAAGTCGTCCCTTGTGAAGTCGTCCCTTGTAAAGTCGTCCCTTGTAAAGTCGTCCCATGTAAAGTTGTAAAGTCGTCCCTTGTAAAGTTGTAAAGTCGTCCCTTGTAAAGTCGTCCCTTGTAAAGTCGTCCCTTGTAAAGTCGTAAAGTCGTTCCTTGTAAAGTCGTCCCTTGTAAAGTTGTAAAGTCGTCCCTTGTAAAGTCGTCCCTTGTAAAGTTGTAAAGTCGTCCCTTGTAAAGTCGTCCCTTGTAAAGTCGTCCCTTGTAAAGTTGTAAAGTCGTCCCTTGTAAAGTCGTCCCATGTAAAGTCGTCCCTTGTAAAGTTGTAAAGTCGTCCCTTGTATAGTCGTCCCTTGTAAAGTCGTCCCTTGTAAAGTCGTCCCTTGTAAAGTCGTCCCTTGTAAAGTTGTAAAGTCGTCCCTTGTAAAGTCGTTCCTTGTAAAGTCGTTCCTTGTAAAGTCGTCCCTTGTAAAGTTGTAAAGTCGTCCCTTGTAAAGTTGTCTCTTGTAAAGTCGTCCCTTGTAGAGTTGTAAAGTCGTCCCATGTAAAGTTGTAAAGTCCATCCATCCATCTTCTCCCGCTTATCTGTGGTCGGTTCGCGGGGGTAGCAGTTCCAGCAGAGAGCCCCAAACTTTCTTTTCCCTGGCGACATCAACCAGCTCTGACTGGGGGATCCCAAGGCGCTCCCAGGCCAGCGAAGAGATACCTGGTCCTAGGTCTACCCCTTGGTCTCTTCCCAGCTGGACGTGCCTGGAACACCTCCCTAGGGAGGCGCCCAGGTGGCATCCTAACTAGGTGCCCGAACCACCTCAACTGGCTCCTTTCGACGCGAAAGAGGAGCGGCTCAACTCCGAGTCCCTCCCTGATGACCGAACTTCTCACCTTATCCCTAAGGGAGACACCAGCCACCCTGCGGAGAAAACCCATCTCGGCCGTAAAGTCGTCCCATGTAAAGTTGTAAAGTCGTCCCTTGTAAAGTTGTAAAGTCGTCCCTTGTAAAGTTGTAAAGTCGTCCCTTGTAAAGTCGTCCCTTGTAAAGTTGTAAAGTCGTCCCTTGTAAAGTCGTCCCTTGTAAAGTCGTCCCTTGTAAAGTTGTAAAGTCGTCCCTTGTAAAGTCGTCCCTTGTAAAGTCGTTCCTTGTAAAGTCGTCCCTTGTAAAGTCGTCCCTTGTAAAGTCGTAAAGTCGTTCCTTGTAAAGTCGTTCCTTGTAAAGTCGTCCCTTGTAAAGTTGTAAAGTCGTCCCTTGTAAAGTCGTCCCTTGTAAAGTCGTTCCTTGTAAAGTCGTCCCTTGTAAAGTCGTCCCTTGTAAAGTTGTAAAGTCGTCCCTTGTATAGTCGTCCCTTGTAAAGTCGTCCCTTGTAAAGTCGTAAAGTCGTTCCTTGTAAAGTCGTTCCTTGTAAAGTCGTTCCTTGTAAAGTCGTCCCTTGTAAAGTTGTAAAGTCGTCCCTTGTAAAGTCGTCTCTTGTAAAGTCGTCCCTTGTAAAGTTGTAAAGTCGTCCCATGTAAAGTTGTAAAGTCGTCCCATGTAAAGTTGTAAAGTCGTCCCTTGTAAAGTCGTCCCTTGTAAAGTCGTCCCTTGTAAAGTCGTTCCTTGTAAAGTCGTCCCTTGTAAAGTTGTAAAGTCGTCCCTTGTAAAGTCGTCCCTTGTAAAGTCGTCCCTTGTAAAGTCGTTCCTTGTAAAGTTGTAAAGTCGTCCCTTGTAAAGTCGTCCCTTGTAAAGTCGTAAAGTCGTTCCTTGTAAAGTCGTTCCTTGTAAAGTCGTTCCTTGTAAAGTTGTAAAGTCGTTCCTTGTAAAGTCGTTCCTTGTAAAGTCGTCCCTTGTAAAGTCGTCCCTTGCCTTCCATTTCGTTTCGTAAGAGCATAACCAAAGCGAACAGCGCTTCAATACAATCGGCCATTGTTGTTGTTGTCGATGTGAGGGATTTCCGCGCGGTTTGGCTTTTATGAAGCAGGCACGTAAACGGTTACGTCATGATGCAAACGATGAGGCATTGACGCAGCACCACCCCGGCTCTGTGTGGTGTGAACAAAGCGGGAGCAGAAAAGCGAAACCGGAGCTGAACCAGAAAAGCTCAAGCACGGAGCTACAATGGGAAAAGCGCTGGTGTGAAAGCCGCAACAGAGGGCCTCTGGAACTGCCAGTCAGATTCCTGGAGGACTCAGTTCCCCTCCGTCTTTGCCTCCCAGCACCCTTTGACCTCCCTGCTCTCTGAGACTTGGGTCACATCAGAAAATCCCCCGGCTGCTCTCTCCACAGCCTACTCCTTCACCCTTTCTGTCCTCTCACCTCACGGCAGATATGCCAGTCCCCTCTGGCTCACTGACTCACAGAACCATCCTAAGGGAAGCTGAAAGGAAACGGTGGGAGGCAAAACACCATGACAACCTCTTTCCCGATCAATCTCTTCTCTTCTCTTTCTCTTTTTCTCTTTCTGCAGCTAAAAGCACATTCTTTCAATCTAAAATGCAATTGTCCCTCCTTGGTGCACGCTCCTTGGTGCACGCTCCTGTACTGTTAGCGCCGGAGCCTCGCAGCAGGGAAACTGTGGCGCGCATAGTTGCGCCGCATTTGCACATAAGACGAATTGCGCCGCATGAGAGGAGGCCCCCTCCGCAAGGTCTGCGCAGTCTGCGTGATCTGCGTGTAGGGAGGGGCGGGCCTGTGTAATGGCATTAATTCCCGCTGCATTAGATACTGTCTGTGATGCAGCGCCCTGTTATACCGCGTTTCTGTATTATAGTAATGGCCGTGACGTCATAATAATGGTATTAAGAGGTGGATTTATTTAGGTAGGACACTACTGAAGGCCTAGGGGTGAAATGCACAGCCCACTACTTTTGTCCAAACTAATCTGATGTCCCTTTTTTTCTCCTTCCTTCCCTTAACCCTAAACTAGTAAATGTGCTGAGCTGGAGGAGGAACTGAAGAACGTCACCAACAACCTGAAGTCTCTGGAGGCCCAGGCTGAGAAGGTAGTGACAGAGAAGAGGATTGTGACATCTGCGATCAGGTTATTAACATAAATCACAACCTGACTAATCTTCTTTCTCATTACAGTACTCTCAAAAGGAGGACAAGTATGAGGAAGAGATCAAGATCCTGACTGACAAGCTGAAAGAGGTGAGGAAGAAGGAGTGATGACTAGAAGATATTGTAAACCCTCTATTTAAATGGCAGTTCCTTCATTAAAATCCATTGTACAATCTAGAGTTGTTTAGTAAAATGTGAAGAAAAAAAATAAGTTGACATACCAATGCATATTCAGTTAATCTTTGACCGCACATGTATTCTGATTTGACGCTGACTCATGCTTTGTCTCCTCAGGCTGAGACCAGGGCTGAGTTTGCAGAGAGATCTGTGGCCAAGCTGGAGAAGACTATTGATGATCTGGAAGGTACAACATTCATTACTCATTGAACCAGTACTAACTGCATCCTTTAAATAGACTTAAGAAAAAAAAGGAAACGACTATACATAACAACGCTGAATTTGGACACATGATTTGAGATGTGGTGATAGCAGTCGTCTGCTTTGAGCAATAGCTTACTAGCTTAACCATAACAGGAAGTATGATGACAGCGACTCAAAGTCCTACAGAAGACAAGAGAAGAAGCTGAGTTGTATTATTTAGGTGTTATCACAAGATTTTTTAAAGAAATTAATAGTTCATGTTGTTTTTTGCACACGTTCATATAAATGAGTAGGGAAATGGTTGCAAGGTGATTGCATTTGTCAGCTTAGGTTTGCAATTCAAATTGTGGATTTCATTCAGTGTTTACAACAAAAATGGCTACATTTTTGGAACAATTGCTACAGTATAGAAAACGATATGTTACATTGGATGGACACTTTTTCCATCAGTAAGAAAATCGTGAGCATTATTCCACTTGTGTCCAATTCTGTTTCCAATTCCAATTCAAATATTTTGAATTCCTGCCACGACCAATAACAGTTACAGCTTTTCTAGATTAATTAGGCTTACTTTTGACATTTTTACATTCGCTCGTTGGAAGTTTTTGCTAATTGAGAATTTTCTATAAAATGTCCATCCATGACTTTACATGTATTTATATTTCATATTCATATTCCACAATTCCAATAATTTCCTCTCTTATTTGTGTCCCTTTTCCTTTGCAACACACCTTTCAGATGAGCTGTATGCACAGAAACTCAAGTACAAAGCCATCAGTGAGGAACTGGACCACGCACTCAATGACATGACCTCCATGTAAGTACTGATGTGTGTCATTCCAGTGGGAATCTGACTTAGCCTGCATGCTTTTAGGGGGAAGTCAACATGTACAAAGGGTGAGGAATGAAGAGGATCTAGTAAATAAGACCTTACAGTACAGTACAGGTCTACCTTGTTTTTAATTCACAGTATTTCCTTTAGTCCGTAGACAGTCACAGTCTTACAGAGCACAGGGACAGACTAGGTGCAAACCTCCTTCAACACCACCCCCTGTTGGCAATACAAAATTGCTTTGCAGTTCCCAGGAATTTGCTCTGGCAGTCATTTCAAGTCAAATCAAATCAAGTTTTATTTATAAAGCACATTTAAAAGCGATTTTTGGTCGAGCCAAAGTGCTGTACATGTAATAAAAACACATTACTACAATCACAATAAAAGACAATAAATTACAACAGATATATAAAAAACACAGGGAATAGTCAGGAGATTTATCAGTGATGTCACCATTTGTTGTCTTTGTGAAACAAGCCATAACTCTATTCCTCTACAACAGACCTGTAACAGCCTTCTGCTGCCTTCTTGTGTTGCTTCCATCACTAATGCGGACACACACACACTTCATCACTGTCTCTTGTTTCTTGTGTCTTCAGCTAAACGTCCAGAAGCTCCACCATCCTGTCCTGTCGTGGTTTCAAGACTCTGCACCCAACCCCCGTTCCTTTTATCACATGTCATCTCTCTTTCCTCATTCCTGGTAGCCATTGTTCATTGTTTGTTTTCTCTTAAGGAATGTTGTCCGTCTGAATTCACTCTTCATCGTACTTCTGTATCACCTCTGTTCTGTACCAGAGTAAAACAAGAGAGGGGAGAAAGCTCGAGTTACTGCTGTGTCTACGGCTGCTTTTTATTATTCACTGAGCCACAAGTTGCTGCTGATGAAACATGCGTGAGTGTGTGTGTGTGTGTGTGTGTGTGTGTGTGTGTGTGTGTGTGTGTGTGTGTGTGTGTGTGTGTGTGTGGACCCAAATGCTGGAGACAGAATTTCCTACCAGAAACTACCCTTATTTAAAGAATCGGTCAAGACAAGGCAAGACAAAGCAGAACGGAACCTCCTGATGTTTGAAGAACAAGAATCTGACTAAGACTAAACAAGAGCCAACACAAGCAGAATGGGGGGGTGCAGGTGAACAGAAGGTCAGAGGTTGCAGGGCTGATGGGGAACAGATGGAACTGATACCATCATTGGGACCAAAACTTGTTCCCATTGACTAACATTAGCCGCTTTCACACCAAGTACTTTGCCGTACTTAGTGCCGGCACTTAGTGCCCCGGCACTTATTACCCCAGGGCACTAAGTACCAATCGCGTTCACACCAGAGTACTTTTCCCTGAGGTAAGATTACGCAAATGAGCTGTTGACGTCACTTCGTCTTCTTCTGCTTTGGGTTTACTGGCAGGCCGCAAACAACTTGCCACCCGAAGTCCCCGGAGTTGGGGACTAGCTTCAGTAGAAGCTGCTGGGACTCCCAGCAGCTTCTACTGAAGCCTTCCGAGTAAATCGCCAGAACGCCGACACCTCCTCATCTCCACCGCTCCCATGTTTTCTTTTGTGTTGCCATGTCTTGTGTTGCCAGTCTCTCTGTGTTTCTGCGCTGGGCTAATGCTAATGCTAATAATGATAATGTGAGGATAATAAAATGGCGGCTTCACAACACTTTTTTGGAGTTTTACGGGGCGTGGTTTGCAATTCGCCCAGCCAATAGAAATTGGTACTTTTTTGCTACTGCAGGCACTGAAAATGGGGGTAAAAGTTCCCGGCACTAAATACTCTTTTTGGTGTGAACGCGCAAATTGGGAACTAAACACAGCCTCCAGAATGATCATAGGGTTATCCACAGCTCTCTGAAGGCCTTCAAACAGAAGCGATAGTCATGACCCTTCAGAAAGTAGGATTTATAGGCCTTACTGTAGTTTTAATACACAGTTAGTTAGTTAGTTAGTTAGACATGTATTATGTTTCTATCTCATTAGCATTAAAGGCAACAACTATGAGAATTAACAATAAATAACAATATACAATATTCACATTTTTATAATCTTGTTTTCAATATTTTAGTTGGCCTGTTGTGCTTACATGTGACTGGTAAAGACACATGAATCATAAAACATCTACAAATGGTCTGTCTTAATAATTTTCTAGGAGCTCCAATTGTCCTTCAACTGAATAAAGTCATCAACATATTTGTTTCCAAATCAAACTAACTCCCCCAATAATAATAATAATAATAATAATAACAATCAGAGCTTATTGATTTACACTCAGAACTTTTATTTCTGGCTAATTCCCATCACACATCAGGGTGTGAGTCATACACTTCACAGTGCCAGAGATTATGAACGTTTTGGAATGATTTCCATGACAGGCCTGTATCAAATCATTATGTAATGTACATTTCCCAAATGTGTTCTATTATTCGTATTCTAATCATTTATAGAATGCTGGAATCTCCAATCCCTGAATGAGTAAGCATTCTATCATTTCCGGTTCCCTCATCTCAAAATCATCGATTTTTGTATTTTTGGTTAGAAGTCTGAAATAAGGTCTGTGGTTAACACAAGCTGAAGAGATTTGAACTTTGTGTTCTACAGTAAATACCCCACTGGTGAAAGTGTTAACATTCTTTGTGTAAAGAAAACAGAACAAGTGTCTAAATGAGACGTCATCATGCACCAAACATTAGCTTAGTTTAGCGGTTCTAGTGATTGCATTTACGCTTCTAAAATCATAAAGTGGTGTTAATGTTGAGATTGTCATGCTGAACAAAACATGTAAATATCATGCACGTGTGTTTGCCACAGAGATCATTTTCTGCAATATACCAAAATCCAATGTTGAGAGACCCATTGCGATGCTTCCGGGTCGGCCTCCAGAAATATGTCATCCATGCGTCACTTTATTGTGTTCATTACATCATCTAACCAAATGATCGAACAGGCAGTTACATTTACCTCCGTTTTTTTTTTTATCATTTCACGATAGTAAAACTACATAAGGTTCTGTTGACACAGAAAAGTACCTAGAACATCTGGAATGAATCATTCAGCTGGGATGATAACGTTTATTTTATCAAACAAACGTTGATTTTTTCATAAAAATAATCATTTAGCCTATAGGTCACCTATTGTGCAAAATCCACTTTTTCCCCTCTGTGTAAAGAGACTGAGAGTTTCAGAGACAAAGACCCCCTCTCTTTTTATCCTGATCCATCTTTATAAAAACCTGTCTGAAAATGAGCTGATCAGATTTTGGTCACTTTGTGATGTCACAATGCTTTTTTGGTTGTGCAACCATTAGCCAATAACCAACCAAGGTAACATGTTTTGTATCTGAGACCTATAATCTATTGTTGAACAAGAGAATAATAGGGGACCTTTAAGCATAACAAAATGATGGTAATCATGTTTTCCTTGTTTATACCTCATGCATTGATCAAAACCCCCAAAAGCTATATCTTCCTCTAAAAAATACTGGCAAACTCTAAACAGTGTCTAAACCTCTTTATTTCTAACACACACATTAGTGAAACTTTTAGGCTAGTGATTAATTGATAGCAAACGGTTTCATCATGGATAAATGCTGAATATTATGCAAAATCCTGTATACTTGGGCATTTTCAGGAAATAGACAGAGTCATAAACACAACTGCAGTTTATTAAATCCAATATACCCTACCACATCATCCAATATATCAACCTGCTGCCATCCAGCGTTCTCATCATGTGAACTTTGACTCTGAGTGAAGCTTTTGAGTCTAATGTGTTGTGGCAGAAAGATAATGGCCTCCATCTTTGTCTATTAAGACAGCACTGCAGTCAGTAAGCATGCTAGTTTCAACAGAGGTCTCTGCTACATAATACATAGACATTTTTGACAAAACGTAAAACTCTTCACGTTCTGTTGATAATGTGTTTTAATGTTATAGACTTCAATTCTGGGACAAACAGTATATTACACAAGTTACCCTTTAAAAAAACAAACATTTTACGAGTGTTTGGCTTTTTCCGCTCTGGCCATCACCTCCATCAGTCATGACTGGTGAACTCACCAAAGTCATTATTGAGACCTGGGAACAGGGTTTCATCGCTGACAATACACTGGGGCTGAAAATATGAGCACTCGGGTGATGGGATGTGACTCTAATGAGCCGCCTCATCAGGAAATGCTCAAGACTGTGATCAGAACAGTGAAGGATTGTGGGAGATGCTGCTGGTGACAGGTTGCAAACAAGCTGAGAGTCAACAAACCTGTAGTTATTAGTCTGGTACCAACTCAGAGTCATATAGTGAATCCGGAAATGCTGAGCAGAGGCGAGCCGTGACTTTTATACCTAGGCCCTCTGACACCCCCCTTCCCTCGAAAAAAAGAAAAAAAATAGCCTATACTTCAGCGGAATATCAAAACAACGGCCCGGGGTGCAAAAGGCATCAATGAAAGCGCAAACCTCTACCACACAAAACAACACCTGTAAATAACCCAATTTGTGTTCTTTGAAATTGAAAAGGATATTGCATTGTGTTTGTTACTTTCGTTGCAGTTGTTTATATGTCGTGACTTTTATACCTAAAAAAAGAAGAGTTATTACGTCACAGCGTATACTTCAGCGGAATATCAAAACGGTATAATGCTTATTAACACAAGTTATGCTAATGGTCCAAATTGCCCAACATATGCAAGTTAGCACCCAGCAGTTTATATGTGCTGGAGACCCTACTATACATTTCTAACATAACACTTTGGGGAACTCAACATGAGCTGGCAACCTGGATATCTTTCTGTATCTGGCTTAACTAACCCTCACAACGTGAGCCGTGATGATGTGCAGATCTGATCAAGTACATTCAAATGAATGTGTTGCTTCAACACATCAGTATGAAATAGAATATAATACTCTTTATTCATGCTCTAGGGGAAATAACACATTACCTGGGTGCAGGCCTACTTTCATATCTATAGCAACACGGGGCATGCATACAACCCAACACATAAGGGAATATATGATAAGAATGGGCTATATATTAATATTTCACAAATAAGTCTGAATTATACAGCTTTACATATTATATTCTGTATTTATATGTATCTGTGTAGAAAAAATACATCGCCTTGGTATTTCCATCACTTTTCATGACTAAGTCATCACAGGACAACATTTCAACACGAGTAAAGGTTAACTTTGCATTTGGCTGACGAGAAAAAAACATCCACATAAAAGTCACGGAAGACTTGGACATAAAAATATAGGTAAAAATGTTCTGTAGAAGGTCTACTCAAAGCTTGTTTGTGCACATGGTGATATTGAAAAGATTCCCTAAATCAGTAACCACCCAATCACAAGCAGCATCATCAAAGGCCTAATGCTCAGCTGGTCTGTCCCCTGGAGCTCTTCCACATACACATGCTTGTAAGATGAGGCTGTGCTTGTAAGACGTCCACCCCCCCTCAGGGATCCTCCCCCCGCTCTACGAGCTGCTGCTGAGTCTGCGGCGCAGCAGGGAGGCCGGCTTGCTCTCGCCGTCCTCTACGTCGCTTTCACATTGTCTCTGGAGGACAGAAACACAACAGTTGGATTTAAAATAAGGCACACTGTGTTTTCCTATCTGATAAAGCTTATAGTGAGGGCTGGCTCTTGGTGGGAGAGAAGCTCCATCTGTAGGGAACACAGGGATTTTAGACTTTGCAGAAAAACCTATAGAACACACTACAGAAGAGGGAAAACCCCAAAATGCGTAATTGGGCCTCTTTAAGGCCCCGTCCACACGGAGACGATATCAGTTGTATCCACTAACGTTCTCTATCGTATAGACCAGGGGTCACCAACCTTTTTTAGGATGAGAGCTACTTTCAAAAAATAAAACAAGTCGTGAGCTACTTCTACTCCTCTTTTTCTTTTTCTTTTTTGCAGTGTATATATTTAGCACATTTTTATATGCTTATATGCTTGTGTGCTGTTTGGGTCTGTGGGACCCGTGTGCAGTGTTTACTAAAAGAACATGTATTTAATTTAATTATTTTAACCTGCTTTATTTGGGGGTGGACCTCACATCCTCTAGGGCAGTGATTCTCAAACTTTTTCATACCAAGGACCACTCAACCAACAAAAAAAATCACTCGCGGACCACCTAACTCCACAAATATCCAACATCACATCGTTTTTCTAGAACAGATTACAAATCACTTTTTTAAATGTTAAAGTGAAATGCATCAATCTGGTGCACTTTGAGCCCAACATGAATTGATGGATACAGCTCTCAACACTCAGATGAAAGGGAGCTGTATACTTTTCAATAATCAAAACATCTTTAGAATATGATCTCAACAAATCATTTAAACTTGTTTATTCTTATCTTATGTTACCTAGTTGGCATTCTTTCTTTTTATTTATGCATATTTTACTAATCACTCCCCTTTTAAACTTTTTACTCTCCTATAGTACACATTGGAATGATTTCTTACTTTATCTATATTAAATAGATAACGGTGTGCTCTCTCTCCCTAGCTCTCTCTGGCTCACAGAGGCTGTGTGCTCCTCCGTGGCGATGAAGGCTTGCGTAAAAAAATAATTGTAGCCAACACGGTGCCCCGGATTCGGAGCCCGAATCCGATACACTTTGAAAACGGCTCCCAGAGTGGGTAGGTCTGGAAACAAAACGCTTGCGGCTCCGTGTGTACGCCCTATACGATCATAGCCTCACCAGTCAGTGATGATGCGTTTCGCCAACAACAATGGCGGATCACAGGGTTGCGTTCGTGCTCCAGACGCTACTGACCATGATACAGATGTTAGTGCAACATCTACAGCTCCTCGACCACAACCATCAGCAACAATAATAATATAATATAATAATAATAATAATATAATTAAAACTGCGGTCGCACTTGTGCGCGCAGTGATGAGCGGGCCCTCGCGTCCGTGCGCCTGTCGGGGAGGGCAGCCGGTCATCCCGGCGTCAAGCAGACGCGCGCGAGTCCTGGGAAATGAGCCGTTTGTCATTTCTATAATTTTCGCATCCCAGACTCCCAGGTCCTCCGGCAGCGACCCGGAAACAGATGTCGGCGCGCCGTCTCAAAGGAAAACAAATGTCTCTAAAGGGTCGTCGAGGATAAATTATCGAGGAGGCTGTCTGGAGGAGCCGTAACCGAGGATACACTGATTTAGAGGAGAGAGGAGAGAGGAGTGTCTCTAGAGGAGCTGTAACCGAGGGTACAAAGATGTAGAGGAGAGAGGAGAGAGGAGTGTCTCTAGAGCAGTGGTTCCCAAATGGTGTGCCGTGAGGCAAGTCCGGGTGTGCCGTGGGATTTTGTGACAACCATACGTTATTATTGCAATATACAACTACAACAAAAATAATAATTTTATTTTTATTTACTATATCAGTACTTTGTAGGTTTAAATGTACGTAATCTGTGCGATTTGCACATCCACATCTCCACGTGCAGTGCTGCATAAACATGGCTGAGTCAGCGATAACTCTCGAGGGGTGGAGGTATGCCCATTATTTTGAGTTCGTCCGAAGAATAGACAGGAATGTGACGGTGAGGTGCAAACTGTGTCCAGGCCAGAAGCTGTTATCCACTGCTGTAAACACCACGTGGTCAAACCTCAACAAACACCTGCAAAGAACACATGCTAAGGTGAAGCTACCGCACACGCTATTTGTTGTTTGTTTATATCACGTAGTCTGTTCTTCTTCTCTGTCTTCCGGTTGTTGCCTGTTTTGAATGACAAATACACACTACCGCCGCCTGCTGGTAAGGACAGTTATTGCCACTCACGCATGCGCAGTTCGTACGTGCTCGAGTAAAGTAACGAGTAAAGTAACGAGTTACTTTATGTAGATAGTAACGAAGTAGTGTAATATATTACTTTTTTTTAAAGTAATATGTAATATATTACATTTTTTTAGTAACGACCCCATCTCTGGAGTTGGCGTTCTCTACTCTGGTTTACATGAAGAACAACAGGAGGTCACGGGACTCACGGCTCTCTGTTGAACAGGACTTGCGAGTGGCCCTCTCCTCAGTGCCACCAAGGATTCAAAAATTCTGCGCGCCCCGACAGGCACATGTATCGCACTAATTTGTAAGTCGGAAAAATATTTACAATAGCACATGTTTCAATGCTGATTGCTGAAATGTTACATTTATAATTTGTAGTTTAGGACCATGGACAATGCAGCTTCCTTGCATTGACAGTTCTCTGTGCTGAATTTCTGCTGAGTTTCCTTTGCCTCATTTTTTATTTTGTGACCTGTCTGGTTTAAATGAGTGTGTTGCTGCTTTGATGAAGCCTAATTTGATAAAGTTTCAAATTAATTTCTGAAATATTTCGTTAATAAATATGTCATGAGTAATATAGTTGTCTTTGTCACATTTTATTTGGCATTAGTAAATAATTATGCACATTTACAGATATTTTACATGATATGAGTGATAACACGTGTTATAAGGGCTATTTTGCACAATAGGTGTGCCTTGAGATTTTACTTGACCTTTGGTGTGCCTTGGGCACAAAAGTTTGGGAACCACTGATCTAGAGGAGCTGTAACCGAGGATACACTGATTTAGAGGAGAGAGGAGTGTCTCTAGAGGAGCTATAACCGAGGGTACACTGAAGTATTCTCCTGAGACGATTTCAGCCAACAGTGATGTTTAAAAGAGGCGTGACGCATGGCTGGACTTCTGTCAACGAAGCACAGCTCTGCAAACTGTTCCCGTTGTGATTATAAGTTATTTGAGATGATCAAATGTGCATCAGACTTTCTGCCCTTTGCCGTTTGTTTACTCACTAATCACATGTCCCCTGGATGAACATCGTTGCTCAGCGCTACTGCTTGTTACTGTTGCTCAGATTGATCCCGCCCCTGCCCCCGCCTCCGACGTAAGCGTGACGTATGTGGTTCTTGCTTCAAAACCCAATTTTTTTTGGAGCTTGGTAAGAACCGGTTTTCGGGGAAAAGAGCCGGCTCCACTGCGGTGTGAACAGGAAAAACAGATCAGGCTCTATCTCCGAACCGGTGTAGGTACCATATGTGCTCGGCCTACCAGATTAGCTCGGGGTCCGTTACGCTTACCAATGACGTCAGGCATTGGCTGTACGGCAACCCACGAGGACATTTTACACGGCCAAATTCCGCAAAGAATATTAAAAAATAACAATCGACAGTGAATGTATGTTAGTGGAACTGTGTCAGGAAAGTGAAGTGATAATAATGTTATTGAAGAACTGAAATGCATAAAATATAAAGTTAATATGTTTACATGATTTTGATGTGCAATAAAACAACCAGAGAAGCGATCTGCAAGGAAACATAGCACACCGTGTCCTCATGCTCCTGTTTCACCTGCTTAATACAGGTTTCATCACTGCTACTGTGGTCACATCGGGGACCCGTAACATTTACAATAGTTGAGATGTGAAGGGGGTTATGTTTTTTGTCTGTGTTCTGGGTTCCTGCAGTTTTTTGAACAGACAGTACACACGTTCAGAGGATGAAGCTATTAACGTGCTGCTACCATAAACTGGCTGTAGCCCACAAACTGAAGCAGAATGATCAAGTTATAGTAAATAATAACAAACTCCAGTGTTAGAATCCCATAAATAAAATGACATGCAAATAGCATTTTCTTGGCTGTGGACTTGTACTCTACATAATTATGTTGAGCTCATGTTAATCTAATTCAATAAACAATAACTGCAATGAACAGATAGCATTTTCTGACTCTGATATGGTGTAATTTGGTAAATGATTCTGTGTTGAAAAATGTATATCTTTAAAAACTGCGTTGGTGTATGATCACATTTGATTTCTAATTTTAAATAAAAGGAAAGAAATTCACAGTTATTGTCAAACAGGAGTTAAATCCATTTCTCGCTTATTCTAAGAATGTATTTTACCATATTCATATTTAAATGATCGGGAAATTACATTGTAATGATAATAAATCACCTCCCTCGTTCAGATCAATGTCGATTGTTATTTTTTTATAATCTTTCGGAATATGGCCGTGTAAAATGTCCTCTTGGGTTGCCGTACAGCCAATGCGTGCCGTCGTAACAGACCCCGAGCTGATCTGGTAGGCCGAGCACCGGCCCTGGAACCGCGTTGGTGTGAATTGGGCATCAGAGACCAGAGGAGAGTCTGACACTCCTGCCTTTCTTCACAACTCCTTAAAGCATGCTGAAGGGGCCTGTGGTCAACTCTATGATCTGTTGTCAGTGTATTAGCCACATTTACAGAATAACCTGTAAGGTGTTCTGTGTCTGTATACCGGCAGTATGTGAAATAAAGAGCTCTCACCTCCAGAGGATCTGCCTCTGAGCGTCCCTTACACAGCAGATTCAACCGGACCAGCCGGTTACACATCCACACCATGTTGTAGGACATCTGGAGGGGGGGGGGGGGGGGGGGGGAGAGACAACGTTTTACAGTGTTCAGATAACGGTACCAGCAAACAAAAGTCTTTATCCAATCATTTCAGTCATTTATCCAACACCGTCCTTAAATCTCCAAACTTGTAAATTAAACATAGGGTTTGGATATGTGCCAGTCTGCTGTTCCACAGATCCTCTCCAAGTGTCATCACCAGTGACTCTTTCAGAAAAATCATTTTACAGCTGTGTCCTGGTGTTGTTTCAGAGGTTTTAAATAATGAATGAAGGTTTCCATGCTGTTCCAAATGCACCTAATATTGCCAAGCCTTCAGGAAGTGGTCCGGATGTTGAAGCACATTTTCATAAGGTCCAGATGGTGGTACTTCACTTCCAGGTCAGTCCATGACGGCATTGTGCCGAGAAAGACTTTTCCCATTCGCTTATATTGGGAAAGAGTCCTCTATTCATCCGTGGATCATTTTTGCTATCAATTAGCCAGTACTAATACTTGAATAAAAACATTCAAAATGAGCTGAAAGCTGAATTTAGATGTATCTCTCTCCATTCATCTGACTGAGACGAGACGCTGCCGTGACTAAATGCAGGACAAAAGACACTGCTCAAGATTTTAACCTTGTTAGTTGAGATTAAAGTCATAGCCTGCAAAGAACATAATATACCATGATTGGTAATTGTTTTTTATTTACAAAATGTATGTCAGCAACTTAGTTGAAATTGTAATAAATTACATTATTAAAAACTAAATTCTATGACGACAGGTGTAAGGACAGCCTTTGCCACACTATCACGTATGGCATTATCATAGACACTTCTTCAGTAGGGGGCCACAGGGGGGTCCAAGTGCAGTGTTACAGGGGTACTCACCCCTTTTGCCCCCCACACCAACCTAGAACTGCCCATGCGTGACAGGGGGAATTGGAGGCGGGGCTAAAGGAAAACAGGTTAGCACACTTTATGGACCCACTGGAAGAGGATGATCCGCGTATTTATGTTCTCCATAGTCAGGATATTTGTCTTCATGAGCCACTGAGCAACCCTCCTCTAACTCTGCATTCAGTTCTCTCTCTAACATCCATTAATATTGCTCACAGTTTTGGTGAGTGGTGACTTTGCCTCTGTGCTTGTGTAACATGAATTTGTTATTTGTTGTACGCTCCTCCATGTTTAGCTTGAACTGCCCAGTAGCAGTTCAGAGCACAATCACCTAGGTTTTTTTTCTGAATTGATTTCCAGATGACGACAAGTTTGTAAAATCAGTCAGTGGATTTGATGTTTTTTTGTCCCTTTAGCCATCAGGCTGCACAATCATGTAACCCTGTTGCCCATAAAAATAACCTGCACTGAACATTAATAATAGTTGCACTGTATGCACAAACCACTTTCAGCCACACTGGTCCATGCACATTTAAATGTATATTTAACCTTGTTCACATCTGTTCATAAGTACATTCACCTGATCAGAGTTTACTTTTCTTATTTCTATTCATACTATTAATACATGTTATTCTTATTATATTTTGTTCTTGTTTGTATCCTTAATATCCCTGTTTATAAGGGTTAGGGTTAAGGTGCATCTTATCTTATAATAAATATATTATACTACACTTACAGCCCATGCTGGTTCGGCAAAATGTCCACACTCACCTTCCATTTCCTTCTGGCGTTGAACTTCTTAAAGCTCTTCATATTGATTGAAGATCGATTCCTTTTGGCCACCTGTGTGCGTGTGATGGGCTGCAACAGAGAGCAGTTGTATTGACACACACACACACACACACAACACACACACACACCACACACACACACACACACACACCACACACACACACACACACACACACACACACACACAACACACACACACACACACACACACACACACACACACACACACACACACACACACACACACACACACACACACACACACACACACACACACACACACACACACACACACACACACACACAGACGCAGGTGTAGTCATGACTCACCTTAATCCATGGGTGCAGCAGACACTCCTCTGCCGTCATCCTCTCACTGCAACACACAGAGACACAGACGTGGTTCACCAACTGGGGTAATTAACTAGTTAACTAACATGAAATATACTTTATTTATAATTACATGTGTGAGCTAACAGAAAAAGCAGAAAACACAAGCATAATGCATATATGATATTAATATGCATTTGTAATCATAGTTTTACAGGTTAAATGAGTGTGTGAAAGAGTGTTGTTTTTGCTACCGTCATAAAGTACATGCTGTTGTTTGTGAACAACCACCCCAAAGTGCTCCTGTGGGGATCGTCCACAGTACTGAGTATGTGAGTCGCTTGGATAAAAGCGTCTAACAAGTGACATTGTCATGTAATGTAACAAAGGTCATTTGTTGGAGCAGATCGCCAAACGTTAAATGATGCTGCCGGTGAGTGTTGGACTTTTATCTCCATTCGTGGATTGTCCTGCTCGCTCAAGATATAGTAGAAACACTATAAAAGCGTTGGGATGAAGCTCTTCGAGGGGGCTCTGCCCAACACCCTGCCAGATAAAGATGTTATGTGGACATCCTGTGGCTCTAGGGGTAACTGCCTGTGATGTCTGCATCTCATTTTTCATAAAGGATAGACATGTATTTAGCTTTAAAAGCTGCACTCAGTAACTTTTGTCCTGATATTTAAATACAGATGATCATTCTGCTTCGAGATTTGTCTTGGCAGATGAGAAGCGCTATATAAATCAAATGTATTATTATCATTCTCCTCTCCTGAATTAGACAACTCCTTCTAACACAACAGGTGGAGGTAGCAGTTTCTTCATTTGGCTTGACCGGATATAACAGAAGCCTAGTGCTGGAAAGTAGCTAGATATATTTATAGATTTCTTCATTTATTTGAATAGACAGTGGATATTGTATCTATAAATGTCCATCTTGCTGCACATAATCACATCAGTGTCTCCTGCTGCTAAACTGAACCCGTGTGCTGCGTGGCTCACAGGGTCTCCTCTGTGTTTACAGCTTTGCCTTTATCCCACTGTTTCAGCGACTGTGAGGCAAACATGAGCGGTTAGTCAATGTTTTGAATAACCGCTCAAGTGTATATACTTTGAAATCCCTCAATGGCCTGGCCCCGCCCTCCCTCTCTGAGCTGCTACACCCCCACACACCCACCCACCTTCTCAGGTCAGCTGATCACCTGCTCCTGAATGCACTCAGCACAAAGTCAAAGCTCAAAGGGGGGCCGTACTGTCGCTGCTGCAGCCCCTAAACTGTGGACCGCTCTGCCCCCCCCACATTAGCGAGGCTTCTTCACTGTCCGTTTTTTAAATGTTCATAAAACCCAACGTTAGCATTCTGCACTTTGTAGATGGTTGCTTTTAAATGGTATATTGTTTTTACTTTATGGCTATTCTTTTTCTGTTCTTACCTTTATTTGTTTTTGTTTTGTGAACTGTTGTGTGGTTCTCTGTTCAGCACTTTGCTCTGGAGGCTGTAAAGTGCTTTATAAATCAAGTTGGATTGGATTACAGTGGTGCTGAGGATTTATAGTGCTGGAAGTCCATCTGACTTTCTTTACTTTAGACAGTTAAATCACTGCATTATCATCATCATAGTCATTACAGCATGCAGGTTGTGGTTGCTTAGTAACCAAACAGTTAACCTGCTAGCTGATATGGACTAATGCCTGAAGGTACATAATGAGTTGTGTCTATGTTGTGTTTGCAGACTTCTTTGATATTTGTATTTCAGTCAAAGTTTCTGAATGTAAAGAAATGTGTGTTTTCCGATGCAGCACTCATTAGACAGAGCCTTCAGTATGCAGCCACATTGCACTGATGGACGTGTGTTTCTGGAATATATTTTAAACTAATGCACACAAGTCTCTTTTGTGTCTAAGAGTGCAACCCCCCATGACAGATCGTGTACCTATACCACATACCTGGGATCTTTCACCAGCAGCTTCTGGATGAAGTCTTTGGCCATGGAGCTGGTCATGCTGAAGTACTGAGCAGCGAACTCGTAGTTCATGATGATGATGTTCCTCAGCGTTTCATCATCAGTGTCCCCTTGGAAGGGTGACAGACCACTCAATCTGAGGACAGAGAGCACAGCAGGAGTGAGACGGCAATATATATCTGCAAGGTATATGTCTCTGTGATTCCACTCCAGATAACAGATCAAAGTGGAAGGGTATCATCAGGCTTGGGGGGTAACAGGATTACATAATCAGGATACAATAAAAGTAACTGTATTCATTTACAGTTACATAAAAACAGATGTAAGAAGATTACTGTAGTTGATAACTAATCAGGGTTACCGTGTCCAAAAAAGAGCATCTAGTGTTTGTTGTAAAGGGTCAGATGTTCTCTCTTCTCTGTAAGCTGTACTGTTCTGTAGGCTAACACTTTAAGAGTGAGTCTATACTTCTACTGCCTGAATCTGCTTCATGGTTTTCACTTTCTTTGCTTCATTTGTTCTGTTTTTAATTCAGCAGGTGAACCTGTATGTTCATAAAATAGTGTGTGTGAGCTTAACTGTGTGTATTAAACTAAAACGGAGCATTTTCTGTCAGCTCAGGTTTGATTCCTGCTTTTTGAAACTGTAGGATGTGCTCATGTGTTTCATTGTTGGTGTACAGGCTGCTGTCTGAATCTGCTGAGTGAAAGGCAGGTCTTCCTATCAATAAGATCATTTCTGATCCTAAATATCCTGGCTTCTTCTTTCCTAAGGTCACATTGTTCTGTTGTCTTACATAATACAAGAGTAAAGAAGTATCAATACGATGTTTAACTTCAGTTAAACATCGTATTGATATTTAGTTTCTCTTGTTTTTATTTGCTTTGCATTTGATATTGAGGTAATTCAGAAGTAAAGTAATGTTTTTTTAACAGGTAACTAGTAATTAGCTGTACTACTAAATGGAATACATTTCTGAAGTTACCCTCCCAAGCCTGTGTAATACACATGATGGTTAACGATCAACACACACAGTGGCTGAATTCAGAGTATCAATGAGTCAGCAGATGCTTATACAGTATGTCAGATCATTAGAAAATTACAATAACGTGTGTAATGTCTACAAGAACTGACATGCCCCCCCCAACACAGCAACACTAACAACTTACAGTATGAAGGTAATAACTCCGATGCTCCTGCAGCAGAAAGAAACACAAGACGCACACAGTCATACACGTTTCATTAGTGTGTGACAAACAGAGCACAAATGCTGCCTTCTCAAAACGTCACGGACAGACTGCTGACAGATGCTGACAGATGCTGACAGATGTTGGACAGTGTACGGAGGCTGACAGGGCAACAACATTTCCATTAGGAGAAACGTACTGCAGTTTCAGAAATTATGCAAATATAAAAACACAAATATACCAAAACACATGCAAATGGTGAAACGTGTCCACCAACTTGAGGAAACGTGCAGCGTTTACTAAAAGCTGCATAAACCAAACGCTGCACGAAGTTCAAAACACAACGGAGACCAGGGGACACTAAAGAGTGATGCACACAGCTGGGAGACCAGGGGACACTAAAGAGTGACGCACACAGCTGGGAGACCAGGGGACACTAAAGAGTGACGCACACAGCTGGGAGACCAGGGGGACACTAAAGAGTGACGCCACACAGCTGGGAGACCAGGGGACACTAAAGAGTGACGCACACAGCTGGGAGACCAGGGGACACTAAAGAGTGACGCACACAGCTGGGAGACCAGGGGACACTAAAGAGTGACGCACACAGCTGGGAGACCAGGGGACACTAAAGAGTGACGCACACAGCTGGGAGACCAGGGGACACTAAAGAGTGACGCACACAGCTGGGAGACCAGGGGACACTAAAGAGTGACGCACACAGCTGGGAGACCAGGGGACACTAAAGAGTGACGCACACAGCTGGGAGACCAGGGGACACTAAAGAGTGACGCACACAGCTGGGAGACCAGGGGACACTAAAGAGTGACGCACACAGCTGGGAGACCAGGGGACACTAAAGAGTGACGCACACAGCTGGGAGACCAGGGGACACTAAAGAGTGACGCACACAGCTGGGAGACCAGGGGACACTAAAGAGTGACGCACACAGCTGGGAGACCAGGGGACACTAAAGAGTGACGCACACAGCTGGGAGACCAGGGGACACTAAAGAGTGACGCACACAGCTGGGAGACCAGGGGACACTAAAGAGTGACGCACACAGCTGGGAGACCAGGGGACACTAAAGAGGGACGCACACAGCTGGGAGACCAGGGGACACTAAGAGTGACGCACACAGCTGGGAGACCAGGGGACACTAAAGAGTGACGCACACAGCTGGGAGACCAGGGGACACTAAAGAGTGAGCACACGCTTGGAGAACCAGGGGACACTAAAGAGTGACGCACACAGCCTGGGAGACCAGGGGACACTAAAGAGTGACGCACACAGCTGGGAGACCAGGGGACACTAAAGAGTGACGCACACAGCTGGGAGACCAGGGGACACTAAAGAGTGACGCACACAGCTGGGAGACCAGGGGACACTAAAGAGTGACGCACACAGCTGGGAGAACCAGGGGACACTAAAGAGTGACGCACACAAGCTGGGAGACCAGGGGACACTAAAGTGATGCACACAGCTGGAAGACCAGGGGACACTAAAAAGTGATGCACACAGCTGGGAGACCAGGGGACACTAAAAGTGACTGCACACAGCTGGGAGACCAGGGGACACTAAAGAGTGACGCCACACAAGCTGGGAGACCAGGGGGACACTAAAGAGTGACGCACACAGCTGGGAGACCAGGGGACACTAAAGAGTGACGCACACAGCTGGGAGAACCAGGGGACACTAAAGAGTGACGCACACGCTGGGAGACCAGGGGACACAGCTGGGAGACCAGGGGACACTAAAGAGTGACGCACACAACTGGGAGACCAGGGGACACTAAAGAGTGACGCACACAGCTGGGAGACCAGGGGACACTAAAGAGTGATGCACACAACTGGGAGACCAGGGGACACTAAAGAGTGACGCACACAGCTGGGAGACCAGGGGACACTAAAAAGTGATGCACACAACTGGGAGACCAGGGGACACTAAAGAGTGATGCACACAGCTGGGAGACCAGGGGACACTAAAGAGTGTTGCACACAGCTGGGAGACCAGGGGACACTAAAGAGTGACGCACACAGCTGGGAGACCAGGGGACACTAAAGAGTGACGCACACAGCTGGGAGACCAGGGGACACTAAAGAGTGATGCACACAGCTGGGAGACCAGGGGACACTAAAAAGTGATGCACACAGCTGGGAGACCAGGGGACACTAAAGAGTGATGCACACAGCTGGGAGACCAGGGGACACTAAAAAGTGATGCACACAGCTGGGAGACCAGGGGACACTAAAGAGTGACGCACACAGCTGGGAGACCAGGGGACACTAAAGAGTGACGCACACAGCTGGGAGACCAGGGGACACTAAAGAGTGATGCACACAGCTGGGAGACCAGGGGACACTAAAAAGTGATGCACACAGCTGGGAGACCAGGGGACACTAAAGAGTGATGCACACAGCTGGGAGACCAGGGGACACTAAAGAGTGACGCACACAGCTGGGAGACCAGGGGACACTAAAAAGTGACGAACACAGCTGGGAGACCAGGGGACACTAAAGAGTGACGCACACAGCTGGGAGACCAGGGGACACTAAAAAGTGATGCACACAGCTGGGAGACCAGGGGACACTAAAAAGTGACGCACACAGCTGGGAGACCAGGGGACACTAAAGAGTGACGCACACAGCTGGGAGACCAGGGGACACTAAAAAGTGATGCACACAGCTGGGAGACCAGGGGACACTAAAAAGTGACGCACACAGCTGGGAGACCAGGGGACACTAAAGAGTGACGCACACAGCTGGGAGACCAGGGGACACTAAAGAGTGATGCACACAGCTGGGAGACCAGGGGACACTAAAGAGTGATGCACACAGCTGGGAGACCAGGGGACACTAAAAAGTGATGCACACAGCTGGGAGACCAGGGGACACTAAAGAGTGACGCACACAGCTGGGAGACCAGGGGACACTAAAGAGTGACGCACACAGCTGGGAGACCAGGGGACACTAAAGAGTGACGCACACAGCTGGGAGACCAGGGGACACTAAAGAGTGACGCACACAGCTGGGACGGAGCGCTAGGTGACGTTCAGGATTATAAAGCTGAACAACTGTCTCTGTTGTTGGAAACGTACCTAACATTTTTGATAGGCTTATTTTAACAATGTGATCACATGACTCCTTCTGATGTTACTGCAGATCTGCTGTAAGCTAGCTAGCTAACGTAGCTAACCTAGTCATTTCAGATATACTGACGAACACTTTCAGTTATGAGATGACTAACTCTGAGACAGAGACAGTTGTTCAGCTTTATAATCGTGAACGTCAAAGAGTGCTCTGGTTTCCGTTGTGTTTTCAGCTTCTTGCAGTGTTTGGTTTATGCAGCTTTTAGTTATAGCTGTGTATGTTTCCTCAAGTTGGTGGGGATGTTTCCCCATTTGCATGTGTTTTGGCACACTTGTGTTTTTATATTTACAATCGTTTGTGCAGCGCGTTTCTCCGAATGTAAATGTTCGAGGCCGCTGTCGGTGTGGGGGGGGGGGGTAACACTGAGCTTTGTCCCCCCTACTGAAGAAAAGTCTACGATGATACCATATGTGATAGTGTGGCAGCAAAGGTTGTCCTTACACTTGACATCATAGAATTTAGTTTCAACTAAGTTACTGACACAAACCTTGTAAATAAAAAACAATTACCAATCACGGTATATTGTGTTTTTTGCAGGCTATTCAATTAGTAGAGAAGGCCTCAGGACAGCCCGACATGTCTAACAGAATAATATGCTCTCCCTCTATAGACAGCAAATAGAGAGATGCTGAAAATAGTCCAACACTTTTTGGAATCACAGCGTGGGGTGTACAATAATGAGATGTGGAAATGTGCTCACCACATATCTGCTGCTGTGCTCAGAGGGTCACTGGTGATCACCTCAGGGGCTGTGACAGAGAGAGACAGAGCCAGTGATGCTTTTGTAAAAACTGTGGCCGTTACATTCATGCTAACAAAGCATATTCAATTCAATTAAACTATTAAGCAAGCAAAGAAGAGAGGCAGAGATAGAGATGGAGAGATCCCATGAGCAGTAGCTGAATCAAAGATGAGCCACTGAACAGAAGTGGAGATTCAACCTTAAAAGTGGCATATCTTGTAATAAAATAATATTTCTTCCATTGTTATTAATGTAATGTCTTTAAGGACTACCCAATTACTCCCATAATGTAAAGAAACAAGGGAAAAATAGAAACATAGAAAATGTTCTCATATTTAAGCTTGCATAAAGATCTTGCAATGGTTAATGTTGGATTTATTTTGTCTGGCAGTGGTACAAAACAATACGGAAAAATACAATAAATGATCAAAATAAGATAAAAAAAACCATGAAGTGCTCGTACAAAGAAAACAATATTTTGAGATAGTACATCTTAGATGATATTAATGAATGATTTCATATCTGTACATGGTATTGGAGGAATCTACCAGATCTAAAAAAGAACTCTTCCTCCTCACCAATGTACTGCGGGGTGCCGCTGGAGCTCCTGTACTCCTCCCCCTGATGGAAGCGGTGTGCGAGGCCGAAGTCGATGAGTTTGATGTTGGGGTGCGGGGCCACTCTGTCTGACAGCATGATGTTTTCTGGCTGGATGGAGAGAGAAATGATATCACAGCTGTGTTTGAAACATCATCAGCAGCAGGCAGTGTCAGTTAGCTGGTACCTTGAGGTCAAAGTGTACGATGTTCTTGCTGTGCATGAACCCCAGCCCCTTCAGGATCTGCTCCATGAACTCGATAGCCTCACTCTCCAGCAGGTTCTCCTTTTCAGCAATGAAGTCAAACAGCTCCCCTCCAGTAACACTGAAAACAGAGGAGTGTCTTACAGTCAGGTGTTTCTCTTATTCTGACCAAACCCTGAACAGGACAGGGACAAAGCAGCAGAACATCATACAGGGAAAGACAACAGTAGAGATCGTCCATATAGCGAATTTCTCTGAACATCGTTTCTTTCAGTTGATTCCAATGAGCACAGAGCGCGTTCTTTTTATGAGCGCACTGCTTTTTTTGAGCTTTGAGTTGAAAATATTACACTTTCCAGAAAAGTGCTGGTGAGGCCACAATAGAAATTGGAGGACAAGCTTGTTTTTGGCCGTGTCTTTCAGATGGAAGCCATCATAACTGTAAAGGAAACCTCTGGAGCAAGGACTCGAAACACAATGAGAACACAGGAGAGCTCGACTTGATGGCAGACACTCAAGGTTTATTGGAAGTTACGGCCGCAGAATTGAGAGACGTTTTCTGCAGCCACGAAGTGACACAGCTCCGGCATAATTCTGAAGATCTCTCCCATATCCTAAGTATTTATCTAGTTCTAGAAAATTAATGAATAAAGAGAGAAAGTGGCAGCCGAGGTTGCATGCCCAAACGTTGTCTAAAGGAGTAGAGTGATTAAAAGGCTGAGGCCTTGGTTCATATTATTCTGAGCAGCAACAAAGACCAAAAAGCTTTTTTGTCTGAGCAGATCAGCCGGACTGATCGGTGAAGCTCATTCATACAAAGTCTGAGAGAAGCAGCTTCCAATTGGTGCTCAAGGTAATAAAACAAATATAAAGTAGCCCGTATACACTAGAATTGCATCATTGGATTTTATTATCTGTCTAACAACAGCGGTGATACGTTGTCTAGATATTGTTGTCATAGATACAAACTCCGCCCATCCAGCACAGAGATCTTGGTGATGCATCCGTCACTTCCTGGGTTGACTTCTGCGATGCTGTCCCCTAAATCCCCAACAAGCACCAAATAATACTGAACCCCCCCCCCCCATCCTCCTCCAACTGGTTCATACCTGTTGACTACAAAAACGTCCTGCTCACCTCCAAAGCCCTCCACAGCCTGCCCCCCCTCTCACTGCCCTCCTTCAGGATGACCCCCCCCCTGCTCCCTCCGCTAGTGCTAGTCTTTCAGCCGCACTGCGCCCAGACTCTGGAAGTCCCCCCCCCCACACATCAGACAGTCTGACATCACCACCACATTCAAATCCACCTCAAAACCATACCCATCTGCTTTTTAAATGTTATGAGTTATATGTTCATCCTCACTTGCATCACTATTGCAAATCTGTAACATTTAAAGAGGAATTATTCTGCTCAGATTTGTATGTTGTGCCTCTACTGTGGCATGTATCCATACTTTAATGTTCAAAAAGGTCTTGTGTCTTGAGTGTTACGCAGTGATGTCACTATGTTCCGGAAGTAAGAAATAGTACTTCTTTTATGCATTGTAAGGGGCCCTTGGGTGTCTTGAAAGGCGCCTCCAAATAAACGTTATTATTATAATTATTTAATATCTAAAAAAGCACAGGGAGCGTTTTTGGAGCGCCTTTCTGTCAGAAAAGACGTGATTGGCTCTAAGGGGTTCGGGTTGTTAGCTTTTGAGATGTGTTTAAGCTAAGTGCCTGAGAGTGATGTTTTTTCATACATTATAGACATGTATTTAGCTTTAAAGCTGCACTCAGTAACTTTTGTCCTGATATTTAAATACAGATGATCATTCTGCTTCGAGATTTGTCTTGGCAGATGAGAAGCGCTATATAAATCAAATGTATTATTATCATTCTCCTCTCCTGAATTAGACAACTCCTTCTAACACAACAGGTGGAGGTAGCAGTTCTTCATTTGGCTGACCGGATAAACAGAAGCCTAGTGCTGGAAAGTAGCTAGATATATTTATAGATTTCTTCATTTATTTGAATAGACAGTGGATATTGTATCTATAAATGTCCATCTTGCTGCACATAATCACATCAGTGTCTCCTGCTGCTAAACTGAACCCGTGTGCTGCGTGGCTCACAGGGTCTCCTCTGTGTTTACAGCTTTGCCTTTATCCCACTGTTTCAGCGACTGTGAGGATTTACGGTGCTGAAAATCTGTCTCTCTTTGTTCTGACTGTGTTCAGATTAGACAGTGAGATTTGCTGCAAAATGACTCCAACTTCATCATCATAGTCATTGCAGCATGCAGGTTTTGGTTGCTTAGTAACAACATGAGTGACCTAAAGCAGCTTGGAAAAATAATGAATGTGGCAAGACTGAAGAGGATGATTAACCATGGAGGGAAAGAAGGATGAACAAGAGTTCTGATTGATGAAGTGAATGAAAGATAACACAATGAATGATATATGTCGTGGAACATACAACTGCTAGGAGAAGAAGGCACACACAATTTTAGATAGAGTTGATCTTTATTATTCTTGAGTTATGTTTTTATCATCACCTTCAATACTATGGCAGATATGTCACATTTAAAGAGGAATTATCCTGCTCATGTTCAGGTTCATATTCTGCTCTGATTGGGTAGCTGGCCGGCTCTGTTGTGATTGGTCAACCGCAAAGAGATGTCCCGCCCCTTAGCCTAAAATGTGTTGTTGTTAAAATGCTAACCAATAGAAGCAGAACGTGTTGCGTTCCCTCTTGGCTATGGGTACAAAGGGACAGGACACGACCAGTTTGGAATTGGTAATTGTTACCGGTGGTTTATTTGTAACCAAAACTTTGAACACAATAATATCCACACGAACAGCCTGGACCAACAACGGACCAAACTGTTACCGGGGTCTAAGCAATAGTTTCACAAAGGCTGATCTACAGGCGCTAAGCTAACCTGGGTCTAAGCTGTTTCACAATGTCAATAATCTAAATGCGGTTCTACAGGAGCTAAGCAACCTGGATCTACGCAATACACACACACAAACCCTACACTAAACACAGAATACTACGACACACTGCTAACCAGTGTGCTCGCACAGAACCCTACTGAACACACTGCTAGGCAGTCTAAGGAATCACAGAATATGGCAATGTCACAATGCGAGGCTTGAGGCGTCTGTCCCAAAATACAGAGCCTCCCGAATGGTGTCCGTGTCCGGCCTTTATGCTCCTCCCCCGGATGACGTGGCAGAAGCGGGCGGGGATTGGGTGACGTCCGTCCAATCACCGCGGATGTTACGAGGTCGGTACGGCCAATGACAGCATAGGAACCGCACAGCTCATTTACATACACACACACACAACCAGAGTTAAGGGCACAAGGTAACAGCGGCTGTAACAGTTACATAGTGATGTCATTATGTTCCGGTAGTAAACACAGGCGTTGCAGGCAGGGGGGGGGGGGGGTAGAATTTCTTAGCTCAACTTAGATCAGGGCTGTCAAACTCAATTTTGTCGCATTAGCATTATGGTTGCCATCAAAGGACCGTTTGTAAATATCCATATATAAAATATTATATATATAAAATGTGTTATATTACATATTCACCTCTGCATTGGATTATTATTGTTTTTAGTAATATATAAATAAATAGCTGCCTCTGAAAGCAGAAGTCTATGAAAAATAGTCAACATTTACAACAATAGTTAGATTTCTTAAAAAAATGATCACCATGTGTTTTATTAAAATGGGGTAACAAAAACACATGGTTGTGCATCACACAAATACTGTATGTTACATACACACATTTGTCTGTGTTATTGTTACATAACTCCCTGAATTTAAGTAACCCTCAACATATCTCATTACATATCAACCTTTTTTTAAGTGAATAATAAAGTTCTTAAATCAAGCACTATGTAAGTATTTATCATCTCCAGCTGCACACTAGACCCTCTACCCACAGCCCTTGTCAAATCCAACATCTCTGCTATAAGTCCCATGATCACCGACGTCATCAACAGCTCCCTCAAGGCTGGTCATGTTCCATCTGCTCTCTGAGGAGATAAAGGCTTGGATGCAACAACACTTCCTGCAGCTAAATAGCTCCAAAACAGAGGCTATTTTAGTGAGCACACCAAACCAGGTCCAGTCCTCCCCCATAACCCACATCACCTTTTCTTCAAAACATACCCCTCCCCACATCAGTTACTAGGGATGCTCCGATCGATCGGCGGTCGCCGATCGTGATCGGCCGATATTCACTCTCGGCCGATCGATCGGTGTATAAAGGCCGATCAGGAGAGCCGATCACATGACCTAAAATACATGACACTTTTCTCTGAAAAACAAGCTCGCCAAAATGGCTTCACCGGTCTGGCAGTATTTTAAGGTGTCCGAAAAAGACAATAAATGGTGATTTGACCGACATCTGACCTTTGATACCCACATCAAACACCTGTGCAAAACCTCCTTCTACCACCTCAGGAACATTGCAAAGCTCCGTCCCACACTCTCCCTGTCAGATGCTGAACAGCTGGTCCATGCCTTCGTCTCCTCAAGGCTCGACTACTGCAACGCTCTCCTCATCGGGACTCCTAGCGGGAGCCTTCAGAAGCTCCAATACGTACAGAACAGTGCCGCTAGGGTCCTGATGAGGGTGAGAAAGTACAACCACATCAACACCCGTCCTTCATTCCCTCCACTGGCTTCCTGTCTCATTCCGGATCGAATACAAGATCGCACTACTGACCCATCAGTGCATCCACGGGAACGCTCCTCCATACCTCAAAGAACTACACACATCACAAACCTCCACACGCAACCTCCGCTCCACAACCAACCATCTGCTTCGTCCCCCCAGGACCAAACTACGCACAATGGGGGATCGGGCAATGAAAGGTGCTTTACAAATACAATTTATTATTATTATTATTATTATTATCTGAATTCAGCTGTAATATTTTAATGTTATGAGCCAAGACTTTGGAAACACCTTGTCCCAGACCCTGATATGTTCCTATCAGCCTGTCACTCATGATTTCAGGGGGGGGGTGGAGTGGATGGGAGATGAGGAGGAGCAGAGGGAGAGGAGACGGTGATCGCTGAAGTTTCCTCCTGCTTTACACCCTTTACGCGAGAAGACGTTCTTTAGCTGAAAGACAGGACTTTACCTGAAGTTACCATCACGCAAGTTTTTGAAACTACAATCCATGTGTATTTTGGAATTTGCCGTGGCGATACCCGATGGATCTTGACAGAGTGGGAGATATTCTGTTTTGTGTCTCTGTGCCGCTGTAACTAAGTTCTGTTCCTTCGGCCTGACTTACCTATGTGCCAAACATAACATAAGGTTGGCGTCAAACAGAAACAGAAACACGTGTACTCACAGCTCCAGAACGAGCACCACCTCAGCTCGGCTCTCGAACACATCTTTGAGCGTGATGATGTTGGGGTGTTGGATAGCGTGCAGGATGTCCACCTCCTCCTCCAGCCGGCTCCGGTCCAGGCCCAGGCGGCTGCACGCGTTCTTGCGGATCTTCAAGAATTTGCCTGCCCAGTAAGTCCCGGTGGCCCGCTCATGGACCTTTCGAACCTGAGCAAAATGCCCACTGGAAGGCGTAAAGAAGCAGAGCAGGGTAAACACCAAACTTCAGAAGATTAACCTCTGCACAAACTCTGACAGACCCAGCACTATCTTTGAGGCTGGACATGCATCGTTTCATCAGAAATTCCCATAAATCAACAGCTGCATGCCCATCCACATATTTGAACAAACTAAATCTCTATCCTGGACAACCCCTCCCACCATGCAGAGCTGGTGAAGACGAGGAGTACGTTCAGCCAGAGACTCATCCCTCCTCGGCACAGCACCAAGCACCTCCAACACTCCTTGTTCCTTCAGCCATTAGGCGGCACAATAAAGGCTTGGCCCCCTCATAAAAACGTATAAAACCCATGACCTCTCCCTAAAGTACCTTTGGACTTGCACTTCAAAATGGATATGTATATATTTAACATATCCACAAATATGCATTGTATATATGTAAACACTTCATTTGAACAAGATGATACAAAATAATGTGCAACCTAGTTAAATAACTAAGTTATTATTATTTGATATTTTTGATAATAATCAAAGAGAAGGTCAAAATGATTTATCTGGAAAGTCACTGTTAAAAGGATGAATTTAGTAAATGTATAACCATGCAAAGAGATCAGCTATTTGTTTGTTCGGGATGTGAATTAAATTGTGGCATTTTAAATCCAATATGTTGGAGTACATTGGAAACACATCTGTAAAATACTTTTTAAACAGCTTGATATATCCGTACCTTCCCAGAACTTCGCCGATCTCATAGAAGTCTTCCACATTTTCAGGCTTGAAGACGGCCATGTTGCTCTGCTTCACTTCCCCTGCTCCTTTGTCACTCCGCCGCTGCTTATTTAACTGCCAACTTCAAGCCATGGTCCTCCAAACTCTAAAGTTGGAAATAAGTATTAGTAACAGCAACATGTCAAGAAGGACATATACAGTAAGCACACATCATACAAATGCTGCAGGGTATCTGCAATTTCAAGAACAGGTTTTTTAAAGAGGCCCTTTTCCGTATCCTGTAGTGTGTTATACTGTATAGGTTTGTGTGCATGTAAATGGTCTTCCCTCCAGAAGAAGTCTTCCCCGAGCCTGAAACACCTCCACAGGCAGTATGAGAGAAACATGAATACCTTTCTGAACTTTAAAACATGGAGACATGTCCCAGTAGACATTAAATACTAAATTGAATCTGAAAATGAGAATAATATGTCCTCTAAGTAAAGTTTTTAAAAAATACTTAAAAGTTATAATATACGACAACAAACTAGACTATAACACTGTTATAAAGTTGTAATATTCAGTGCAGCTAAGGTGCTGGCGTGTTCAGTAAGAGTGCACTGTGGAGACAATTTAGGTAGGAACTCATCAGGAGTGAAAAAGATCCGGGAGCGTGTCCTTCATGAAAAACTGTTCTTTATAATTTACAGGTTTAAAATGTTCACAGTCAATTTCAGCAACAGCAGATACAGAGGTAAGGTAGGGGGACATAACGTTACAGTCTAAAAACACCCCCCCAACAACAACAAAAGATCTACATTCAGCATTCTTTCTTTGGTGTACACACTCTGTACAGAGGAGATTCTTTGACATCTTAAATTAGATCACTGGTATTTCCATTAATTAGTGCTAACTCTTATAAGTCCTTCTCTTATGAAACATGTCACAGATGTTGACTGATAGATGGGTATAGATCGAGTTACTGAGTTTCCTCAGCAGTGAAGGATGTAGAGCAGGTGTGTCCAAACTAGAGCCCGGGCGCCAAATGCGGCCCGCGGACCATTTTGAATCGGCCCTCAGCTAATTAAAAAAGTATAATGGAATATGGGCCACAAATGAAACTTGTGCTTGTCTTATATTGTACTTCCTAAATATAAATGTAAAAATATATTACACAGTAGTATTCATGTGTTACTGTAATAAGACCACTTTTCAAATAAATTCAGTCAATTAAAGTTGGAAACATTTTCTAACATATCTTAGTTGATAAGAAAAAAGCCCAATGACTTATTTACATAACAAGCTTGAAATACACCCTTCATATTTCTCCTCATTATTATCATCAATCTGAGGTTTCTGTTTTAAGGGATGAGCTGCCAACATCATTTACCCACATTTGATTGATTTAGCTAACTTATAAGTAACTGAACTTATGAGGGAATATACCTCTAGGGAGTGGCCCAGCCCTTCGTATATGTTTCTGTATGTGGCCCTCGGTGAAAAAGGTTTGGACACCCCTGATGTAGAGAAACTAGTTTATGACTACATATGAAACTAAAGTTGCCTAAGGTAACAGATGATGACGTGTAACTCTGTCAGCCATGTTTTCTCTGATCATGGATCATTCCAGCATGTTGCTTTTGTTGCATGAATTCATTCTCTCTCTTTAATATTTGGGTGTTTTCATATTTTCTTCAGTACATTCTTCACCAATATGTCAGTCTATAAAGGTCTTTCTGTGTAAAGGTGTCTGTGACATCCGATCACACGTGGATGTAGCACTTCCTCATTTCAGGTTCTACTGTTAGTCAGCAGAGTTGGGCAAGTTACTTCCAAAATGTAACTGCAAACATCGCTGCTACAACCCGTTGCTGCAGATACACGCTTTACAACATCAGGAAGATACGTCCCCAGCTGACTCAGAAAGCGACTCAGGTTCTGGTCCAGGCTCTCGTCACCTCACGCCTAGACTACTGCAACTCCCTCCTGGCTGGTCTACCTGCATGTGCCATCCGACCTCTGCAGCTCATCCAGAATGCAGCGGCTCGTCTGGTCTTCAACCTTCCTAAATTCTCCCACACCACTCCGCTCCTCCGCTCCCTTCACTGGCTTCCGGTAACTGCTAGAATCCACTTCAAGACACTGGTACTTGCTTACCGTGCTGCGAATGGATCTGGCCCTTCGTACATCCAGGACATGGTTAAACCGTACACCCCAGCGCGTGCACTACGCTCTGCATCAGCCAAACGACTCGTTGCGCCCTCGCTGCGCAACCCAAGTTCCCATCGGCGAAAACACGTGGGTTTGCTATCCTGGCTCCAAGATGGTAGAATGAGCTCCCCATTGACATCAGGACGGCAGATAGCTTGCACATCTTCCGGCGCAGACTGAAAACTCATCTCTTTCGACTCCACTTCGAGCGATAGAACTATTAACAAAGCACTTATATACTAATAAAGGACTGGCTTACCTAAAGCCAGTTGAGTAGCACTTGAAATGTTTGGCTCTATGAAACCTGATGTACTTTATGATTCTGTTTTCTTCAAGGTTGTGTCTTCCTGGTCGAATGTACTTATTGTAAGTCGCTTTGGATAAAAGCATCAGCTAAATGCAATGTAATAATAATACATTACTTATTACTGTCTTTTTTAAGTAAGAAGTTATATTACAATATTACTGTCTCTGAAATGTAATGAGTTACAGTACTTTTATATTACTTTTGACTTACTTTCACCAAAATAACCGCAAAATAATGGCTAGGTATTTTAAATGCTAAAATGTAGTTTAGTGCAGCAACTGTGTAGGCCCTTAAGGCTACCAACAACTTTTATTACAAGGCTTAGTTGAATACTCGATTCTGATTGGTCAATTCCGTTGCTAAGGAGGATCAAGAAAGAGAAAGTAAAAGAGGGTAACGCAGCGTCCACACGGCGGTGTGCGTTGAAGCTTGCCGGTGAGCTTGTCTGAAACTCGACCAACAACCAATCACATGAATCTCCCGCCCCGGACACACAAGCAGCGGTTTGATTGGCTAGAGCTTGTACTAGCATATGATTTGATTGGCTGACGCCTCCGTCGAAGCTTCAAAAGTTGAACATTGCTCTACTTTTGCAGCGAGCACCGCGAGAAAAGCTACACTTTGCTCCCACAATGCAGTTCGGTGAAACGTGACGTCACCCCATTCAAAGTGAATGGGCAGAAGCGTTGAAGCGGCAACGCACGCCGCCGTGTGTAGGGGCCGTAACAGGAACACGGTATGGGCTCTGCAGTGTTTAAGGACTTGTTAGTGGATCAGAAACTGTGAACAGAGTTGGACAGTGCTGCCGTAAAGTTGTTGTTGTCGCAGTTCCAGCCGTTGGAAGAAATACGATAATTTTAAGTCAATAAAATCATTTCAATTAATATTGGGAGACGATTCCTTAGTTTGTTTAGTATCTGGCCGTGTAATAAGCGGGATAATGTGCAGCGGCTTGGTCATTATGGGGAAAAGAACACCCTTCAGGCTCATCAAGATCAGCCTGACTGATTACGTAAACACCAGGCTTACTAATCTGGGGTGGCTGTGGCTCAGTGGGTAGTGTGCTGGACTTGGAATCGGGATAGCAAGTTCGAGTCCCACTGCAGTCAGCATGTTGTTGTGTCCCTGAGACACTTCACCCCAAAGTGCTCCTGTGGGGATTGTCCACAGTACTGAATGTATGTTAGTCGCTTTGGATAAAAGCGTCTAACAAGTGACATGTAATGTAATGTAATCTACCGGCACAATTTGTCTCTGGTGTCGGAATGTCTCGCAATGTTAGTAGGCTACATTCAACAAAACACCATTTCATTTCGGGTTAAAATATGTTGTAACTGCATTACTGAGCATTGTAACGGGTAATATATTACCCACATTTCCTTAGTAATGCATTACATTACTTTGTTACAGCAAAAAGTTATATATTACTGTAACTCCGTTACTTTTGTAACGCGTGAACCTGAGGAGCTTTAATGTCGGTTGCAACATAACAACACCCTAAATAAACGCCAGATTAAAATAAAAATGGGGGCTCTTTCCTTTATCTCTGTCCTGCCCCCCAAATCCAAGTTTTCTATCCCATATTTTAATAATAGAATTGTTGCAAACCGTTTCCATCACCATGTAAAAAGTTGTTTTATCCTAACAGTTCCCGCCAATTCCACTCCCTTCCCGATGACACATCACTGAATTATGTTATCACACAGCTCAGCAGGGATGACATCAGCTGTGTGCAACCAACTTCCCCCACTGTTCAACTGCGTGTTGTTCATGAACATACAAGAAATGCAGCTTTTGTTATATAATTCACAGAGATATAATCAGACAGGCGATGTTTACATGTAGACTGTAGTTCTATATCAAAATACTTTATATTACATATAACCGTGTTACATATATCATCGTCGGGTCCCAGTTATGGTCACTCAAGCTTCACAGGAGGGTTCTGATGCATTCTTGACTTGAAGTAGAACTTAAATACAAAGAGCCTTTAGATTCATTCATTTCTGTAAAGTAACCTAGATAAATTGCTATTTTTTGGAATATTTAAGATATGACCTTTTGTCACACAGGTTAAAGACAAGATGCCAAACAGCCAAGCCCCCAGGAAGTGAGCCGGACCTTGTAGCAAATTGTTGTAGTGGCCAAATGGTAGGATTACAACTTCCTGTCAGTCCTTTACGTCATATGTCCCAAAAATAGTTGTTCCCATTGACTTACATTGGGAAAGAGACGTCTGTAAATCAGCGGATTATTTATTATAATTATGGTCTACGGCCCAGATACGGCTACTTTGGCTCTTGGGAGGCCGGCCAGTCTGGCTTCATGTGCCACTGAGCAACTTTCACAAGAATTAATGCGCGTCCAACGCTGATCGAGTACTCTTTAGACATCCATGCAAAGAGCATTGTCCGCCAGGGCGATATGGAGTAATAACCGAAAAATATTTATATTTTAAGATCTGATTAAAATCCACGTTCAACCATCAGACCTACCCAAAGTGAAGTTTAGCCTCTGCATTTAACCCATTAGGAGCAGTGGGCAGATATTACATCCAGACCACTTGGGGAGTAGTGTGGGAGTCCAGTGCCTTGCTCAAGGGCACCTTAGCTGTGCCAAGGAGGTAAACTCATACCTCTCTATGTACCTGTCTACACTCCAAACTTGGTCAGATCCAGAACTTGAACCAGCGACCCTTTGGTTCCAAAGCCAAGTCCCTACTGACTGAGATACTACTGCCCAATGCATGCAACAATATTCAAGGGTTAACTACTGGTTCTTTCATTAAAAATGTACATACAAATAATACAATTAGAACATGAAATCACTTTATTGTATTGCAACCTCCAAAACCAGGGAACACTTGCTACGCCATGTTAAGATATCAAACATGACGATATGTAGTATCTATCAAAAATATTGATTTAAAGTCCAGCAATAGAAAGTACTCAGCTAAAACAACCAGAGCCATTTAATAAGGATATATAAGCACGAGTCTGGACAACACAGCTGCTTTACAGATTCTGCTAAAACAGTAGCCTACAACTTCTTCTAAAAAAGTCTATCTGCCATTCCAATCTATGGAAACTATGGAGCAAGGATGTATACAGTAAGTTTTAGGATTTAGGGAAAACATTTACCCAAACATTAATGTCAACTCAATGCTACAGAAGTATTGTAAATAATAAATACCCCATCTAAGCCCAGCCCACTGGGTCATTTGTAATATCTATAAAAGGTAAGGGTTTTTCAAGAAAACAAGAAATTAGGAAGGAAATGAAACCACCTAGACAAAACATGTTTCACTTTTAACTTAACGTTGCATACACTCATGTCATAGAGCAGGCTGTGAGAAATATGCCTTAGTTTTAGTGATGTAATGTCAATGTTTGAATGTGCGTATCTGCTCAGACCCTCTCATTCCCCTGCAGCATTTCTAACCCAACCTGTTGTGACACGTAGGAAAATAACACGCACAGTCAAATAAAGCAAACTTTCTCCTGCCATAGCGACACATGCAGCTCGGGGACGGCTGCTATGTTCCGGTATTTTACACACAGAAAAAAAAACATATTCTTCGCTCACTGATTAATAAATGTAGCAGCAGGCCTCTGAAACGGGACGTACGCACCCAGTGATGCTCGGCTGCGGCTCCATGAACGGTCCTCTCCCGCCACCTGTGTCTCTTCTCTGCCGCTGGAGCTCCTCACCGACGGGGCTCGCGCTGCACTGGAGCTCTGACGGTTGGGGAATGCGGAAGCAAACTGCAGCATCCACAAATTGATGTCGGCCCAATCCCAAACCACGCCCTACACACTCCCCCCTCCGTGAGTGAACTCTGTGGAGTGTGACACTCGCAGCTCAACGAGGCTCCCTCCTTCACTAAGGCCCATTCCCAAACAGCCCCCTACACCCTACCCCTCAGTGCTTCTCAAAGTGTGGTCCGCGGACCACTGGTGGTCCGTGAGTGCCCCCTAGTGGTCCGTGAGTATATTGGTAAAATTTCACATTTGAAATAAATTAATTGATTTTTTACTCTCGCGGGAATATCTCCGCAATGGAACGAGCTTAAATTTCACTTTGATTGCATGATATAGCCCAGATAAGCACCTTCATCACACATGTTGCCACTTGTTTGTACAATTTTCAGGCGATTTGTAAAAAACGATGTGTTTTTGGATATTTGTGGAGTTAGGTGGTTCGCGAGTGTTTTTTTATTGGTTAAGTGGTCCTTGGTATGAAAAAGTTTGAGAAACACTGCCTACACCCTACCCCTCCATTTCCGCGTTCACGCGGAGGGTCCGCCATATTGAGGGCTGTTCCAAAGCAACGAGTGTGGAGGGGGAGTGGGCTATCAAGCCCTCAAACAGCGAGTCTGCAGCGGTGCTGACTTGAGACCGGTCTCTACCTGACCGGAGTCACGCTGTGTGTGTCCGTCAGGAAACAAGCTGTTAACAAGTAGTTCCAGCAAACATCCACTGATAAACTGCGATGTTAACAACCTCATGATAACCTCATATATTTTTAACTTAGGATCATACCTGTGTAGTTTAGTCTAGAAAAAGGTAAATGTGTGCATTTTATTATAAAGTTGTGTATATTTACAGACCGTTGCAAAAACTAAGAAGCTTATAAACATCAGGTTTAAAACTAAAAGAGCTTTGAAACACAATGAAAGATGTTTGGAGTTTTATTTGAGTTATTCATTTAAACTTTTTGTCTAAGAGATGCTGATTTGAAACCGTTGTTACATACAGTTACGGCATTTCCTGTTTCTGCCGGAGAGAGGGGAGGCCGTCCCAAAGCTTGCTGCTGTATTTACTCCCTCCATCTGACAGGAGGGAGCCTCGTTGAGCTGCGAGTGTGGCTACAGACGGAGTTCACTCCATCACGGAGGGGTAGGGTCGAGGGAGTGGTTTGGGATTGGGCCGGACTATTCGACTTCAGCCCACTTTTCGGCCCAATCCCAAACCACTCCCTCGACCCTACCCCTCCGTGATGGAGTGAACTCCGTCTGTAGCCACACTCGCAGCTCAACGAGGCTCCCTCCTGTCAGATGGAGGGAGTAAATACAGCAGCAAGCTTTGGGACGGCCTCCCCTCTCTCCGGCAGAAACAGGAAATCATCTTTCATTGTGTTGAAACGCGTGAACGGAGGGGTAAGGGTGTAGGGGGCGGTTTAGGAATGGGCCTTTATTTTTCATAATTCCATTAAGATATTAATTATTATATATATATATTAATATATATATATATATTAATTAAGATAATTTGTTTTTGAGAAGTGAAAAGTAAAAAAAAAAAACTTCAGAAAACAATAAATAACCTTTTTTCAGAATTCTGATTTTCATCTCTGAATTATTTTCCACATACTTGTTGTAGCCTACATACACTCACTCTGAGGTTATATTTTAAAAGCTAGTGTGCTAATGTTTTTATATATATAGTACACCATGTTTATGTCCCGTTTAGTAGATTTGTATACCAATATATAAAATTGAGTATTCTAATGTATTCTATATACAGTATGTTATAGTGTGTGGATACTAGGGGTGTAACGGTTCACAAACATTTCGGTTCGGTACGTACCTCGGTTTTTTGGTCACGGTTCGGTTCGGTACGTTTTCGGTACAGCAGAATTTTTTTTCACAAAACAAAACATATATATATATTTTTTTTTTATTATTATTAAACTGTGAATAATGTATTCACTCAAATAAATACAAAATATAATAAAATAAACATTAAGGTGCAGCATTTCGATGAACTGAAATAATCTGTATTTGAACTTTACTGTAGGCTACTAGTACTCACAAAACATAAACTATTAGTTTTGGGTTTTTAATTATTATTAAACTGTGAATATTCACTCAAATAAATACAAAATATAATAAAATAAACATTAAGGTGCAGCTTTTCGATGAACTGAAATAATCTGTATTTGAACTGTACTGTACTAGTTCCTAAGCAGCCAGCTTGACATTAGGACTTGCTTGTCATTGTATTTTCATGTTTTTTTAAAGAAAAATGAACTTGTCCACATTGCTTGCCGAAAGGGCAGATCTGCTGGCACTAACAATGTCTCCTGATGTGGAGAACACCCTCTCTCTAGGCAGGGCCGGACTGGGACAATAAGTCAGGCTGGGAATTATACACCCAGCCAGGCCACTACCAGTTTTCTTTTGTGCCATTTTCCTGGATTTATTTGTCAATATTTACAGCGTTGCTGCCCATAGTGATAGCCCTACACTTTAAATCTACTACCCCAGAATAAACATATGGACATGGGTTACTATTTCAATTTTTTTTGCAAATCTATTTAGGAACCTATCCATGTGAACATATTTTAAGTGGAGATGGACCTCAATTCCTCTAGGGGGGTCCGGGGGCATTCATTTATAGTTGTGAGTGTGTCTGTGCTCCTGAACCAGCCTCACTCATCTCCCCCCTCTCCCCCTGCTCCTCTTTGAGGCAGCAGCAAAGACTAGTTTTAGCTCTCAACAAGTTTTTAAAGTTTATCTTACCTTTTTTCACCTAGTTAATTTTTTTTAATTATTATTCATGCATATTTTACTAATCACTCCCCTTTCAAATGGAAATATGTGTTTACATAAATGGTGACCAAACCGTTTGAGACCCACTGAGATAACTCAGACTAAGTTAACTATCTAAACACTCAAGAGTCCTTTACCTCACCTGAGCTGTAGTTATCAGTCTCTCAGTCTGACAGGAGAGGACTCTCCTCCACCTTGTTGACAGTCAGCTCATTATATCCATTAGCGCCGCTAGCTAGCACCAGATGCTAACAACAACAATACACGTAACCGGTGCGCGCGCTTTCTCTCTCGCACGCTCGCGCCCGCCACACATACACACCCTCCCGAGCTTGAATGAGAGACCAATCGAGGGCTTTAGTGTATGATCTGTATGAAAGTGGCCATGTCGGCAGGCCACATCATGTAGACAGCCAGTCACCTAGTTATTTAAAAAAAATTATTATTCATGCATATTTTACTAATTACTCCCCCTTCAAATGGAAATATGTGTTTACATAAATGGTGACCAAACCGTTTGAGACCCACAGAGATAACTCAGACTAAGTTAACTATCTAAAGACTCAAGAGTCCTTTACCTCACCTGAGCTGTAGTTATCAGTCTCTCAGTCTGACAGGAGAGGACTCTCCTCCACCTTGTTGACAGTCAGCTCATTATATCCATTAGCGCCGCTAGCTAGCACCAGATGCTAACAACAACAAAACACGTAATCGGTGCGCGCGCTTTCTCTCTCGCACGCTCAGGCCCGCCACACATACACACCCTCCCGAGCTTGAATGAGAGACCAATCGAGGGCTTTAGTGTATGATCTGTATGAAAGTGGCCATGTCGGCAGGCCACATCATGTAGACAGCCAGTCACCCTCTGTGAGGCAGAGTCTGACCCACATTTGCGCAGCGTTGCGTTCACAATACATACATAAAATAAAAAAAATCCTCAGGCCAGCAGGCCACTTAACAGGCCAGGCCATCGGGAAACCTCCCGGTCCTCCCGATGGCCAGTCCGGGCCTGTCTCTAGGGACAGAGGTAGCAGATACAGCCAGGTAGCGCTTTGCTAACATGGCAACATAAGGATATTTGGTGTTTGTAATAGCTTTGGCTCGGTCTGAACTCTCTGCGAGTGGTGGAGGCTTAAATGCTAGTGGGAGTTGGGTTTGCACTTCAGTCTTTTTTCTTTTGGTACCGGTGATATTCACGTTCGGTTGATGCCTTTTCAAGAGTGTGCAAGTTTGATGTATTGCCAGCCGCGCAACCAATGTTAGTTGAACAATGCCGACAAACAGCTTTGGTTCGGTCCACCTGTCTTTGTCCTTCATCCTTGTACGTAACTGCGAAACCAAAATGTTCCCAAACCGGAGACTTCAATGATGCTGGAGGATTTTCGAGCTCAACTTTATCTGCGTTCGCCATTAATTTTCGACAGTTCCTCAAATTACTGACTACATTTGAACGCATCCCTCTGTCCAGCTCTCATAGTATGCCTCTCATCCAATGAAATGACTTGCTCGCTCTATGACGCGTTGAACCCAATGTGAGCAAATTACTCTGAATGCTGCGACGCAGCACCTGAGATTACTTCCAAAAAGTTGTTCACGTTCTCAATTTTTTACGTTTAACGTTATATTCGTTCGGTACACTTCGGTACACACCTGTACCGAACCGAAGGGCCCGTACCGAATAATTTCGGTACGGGTACGTGTACCGTTACACCCCTAGTGGATACTCTTCAGAATAAATGTATATTAGAAGAATATGTATATATTGTTTGTATTTGTTATGTTTATTTTCATTTAATTTGTATTTCTTCTATTTTTACGAACGTTTTGTAATTCTTGATTGACTGTCAAATGTTGCTGTGACAAAACAATGTATGTAGAATATTGATTACAAAATATATGTTTTGCTTTAGATGCTCCACAGCACAGCTTTTATACAAGCAACATGGCTGCAAATAAACACTTTACAACAGGGCAGGTGGGGTCTTTGGGAGTTTAAGGTCATCTGGAGAAGAACAGCATCATGGGAAGTGAGGAGCATTCAGTTCATGTATTTCTTCTTTTCTCATCTAGTGATATCTTGACTAAGGAATCAGCTGAAGTGCCAGAGGCTTCTCTAAGCAGGTAGATGAGCTACATGAAGAGTGTCAGTCACAACCAGAGGTGGAAACAGTTGACAGATGTATGTAAAAGTATAACATATTATGTCTCATAATAATAAGTAGTCCTGAGTTAAAACAAATACTTAAGTAAAAGTACAAAAGTATTAGCATCAAAATACTAAAACAGTACATATTCTGCACAATGGACAATTTGTGAATAATCTTAAGTACTACATGG